TATTTAATTTGAAATTCAAATTTGAATTTCAAATACTTTCCTAAATTAGCCAAGCCAAATTAGGAAAGTTTTCAATACAAATCTAATTTAATATTTAATTAAATTGGATTTCTTATTCCATTGCTTAAATGGGTTTAATGCATTAAGAGGCATTAATTGCTCTCCCCTTCTCCCTCCTCCCCTAAGCATGCTGCCAGCCCATCAATGGGTTTCCCCCATTTAATGCCCATTTAAGATTCAAGCCTTATTTGAATTTGAATTCAAATTCAAATCCAACTCCCTCCAAACCCACCCAATTAAAACAAAGCCCTCTCTCCCCTCTATAATTGGCCGGCCTTCTTAAACCGTCCCCTCTCTCTCTCTCTCTCTCTCTCTCTCTCTCTCTCTCTCTCTCTCTCTCTCTCCTCTTTCCCCCCCCCCTCTCCACTTTGCCACCTAAGCACTAATTAATTCCCTCCCAATTCCCTTCTCTGGCCAACCACCCCTTTAATTAGCTTTCCTAATTGTGGCTTAAATCCAGGCTCCAATTAAAGCCCAATTACTCCCATACTTTCCTCTCTAATACTTACTTTAAAATTCAAATTTTGAAACTCCTTTAACCTCAAATTAAATTAGGGAAATCTGAAATTAATTTCAGATATGTTCCCTCCCCACCTAGATTCCAACTAGGCTCTCTCACCCCTCTCCTCCAACCGGCCGGCCCTCCTCCTCTCCCTCTCAACATTTTCTCATGGACAACTATGCATGGTCAATCCGGATGTTGATCATAGATTCGTCTTTGATTCCCCATGGACGTGTGGATGTTTTGAGATCGCCTTTCTGTGACGTCAACGTGGAGATCGACGCAACCGTTGAAGATTAAGTGGATCAGATACTATTTTCTCTATCAATTTCCATCGACGAATACTACCTTCCATCCAAATGGCAACTCTTACACCTTCCACCGACTCCTCCAACTCCGACAAGCTTTCCTGTGGACAGTATTGTAAGCTTCCTCTTCCTCGTGGTGATCACACCAGTATTGCTAATATCTATCTTCCGTTAACCGCAAGAGAGCTTGAGTGAGGAAAACTCAAGGCGACTTTTCTAAATATTAACCCACGGATTATTGTTAATGTGCATTTATCATTACTCGCATATTTGTTATTGTTTTAAATTGTCTTGCCTAACGAGTTTGTAACACTGCCTAAGCAACTTTGCAACTGAGATTTCATTAAATCATTAATCGTGACTCGTTAATCTTTATATTGACTTGCTTATTCAGTTGTCTTATTATTTCTCCGTGCAATTCCGATTACGTTTCACATCACTATACATTATTTTTCAAACACTAGGACTCAGAGGGAGTCACAGTTTTATTAGTTTAGGTGTATGATATCATCTTAACTATGAATGATGAAAAGAAGAAAGTAATTCTAAGAAAATGTTTTGCCAAAAAATTTGAGACAAAAACTTGGTAGGTTGAAATATTTCCTTAGAATTGAGGTAGTTCACTCCTACAGAGGAATGTTTATTTCACAACAAAAATATGTTACTAATCTACTTTAAAGAAATTATTTAGGGAAATGGAATTCAAATCCTATTCCTTGGAATCATTATATATATATACACACTCTAGGAGAATAAACATAAAAAGAAAGACATTCAATCTTATTAATTATAATAAACATAAGAGAAAAGTCATTTAACCCAATTGTAATCTAATTGATTCTCATAATTATATCTCACAGATCTTGGAATCAATCCCATGGATATTGATGCAAGAAGAGGAAATCTCCATCTGCAGCCCACGATTGCAAACCATGGATTGCTAACCTATCAAAGCTATGGGTCCCCTCCTTGTCGTGTGATTCAACACTCCCCCTCAAGTTGGGTTGTACAAGTTGTACAATCCTAATTTGCAAACAAACTAACCAAGTAGAGAACCCAGTAGTGCCTTTGTTAGACCATCGACAAGTTGTTCGATCATGAGATGTGGTATATACTACTTCAAATTTTTAGTTCTCTATTTTCTCAGATATAACAATTGTAACATATTTTGTTCTGTCGTGATGTATTGGATTATTGGTCATACTGATTGTGGCTTCATTATCACCTTTCAACTTTATCGTACCTTCAATCTTTATTCCAAGTTCAATCAATACTTATCTAATCCAAATACCTTCATAAATAATAACTGCTAATGCTCTCAGTTCAGATTCCGCACTACTTCTGGAAATAACAGATTATTTCTTGCTCCTCCATGTTAGTAGATTCCCCCCACACAAATGAACAATATCCTGTGATTGATCGACTGTTAACATGGCTTCCTGTCCAATCTGGATCAGAATAAAGAATCAATTTCTTATCTTTATTTTTCTTGAATAATAGCCCCTATCTATGAGTGTTCTTAATATATCTCAAGATTTGATATACTGCCTCAATGTGCTCCTTCATATAATTACTCATATATTGGCCCACCATGCTCACAACAAACCCAAAATCTAGACAGGTGCGGGAGAGATATATAAGCTTCACTACCAAACATTCATATCTTCCTTTATCGATTGAAACCCCCTCCTTTTCTATCCCAAGTTTATTCTCAAGATCCATAGGTGTACTGGCTGGTCTGCATCACAACAGGTCAGTCTCCTTCAGTAAGTCAAAGGTATACTTGTGTTGGAAAATAAATATACCTAATACCTTTGCTTGATCGAGGTTACCTCCATACCCAGAAAGTATCTAAGTGATCCTAAATCTTTAACTTCAAACTCCTTGGACAGAGCATGTTTGATCTTTATTATTTCCTCTATATTATTTCCAAAGGATGATGTCATTGTGGGATCTTGCGATCATAAGAAGAAATCTCCAACTGCAGCCCATGGATTACTAACCTGTCAAAGCTGTGGGCCCCCTCCTTGCTATGTGATTCAACATTCTTAAAGAAACATGTAAACTAGTTTTTAAACTAGCACCAACACCAATAAAACCAGATCTCTAATTTAGGGAAACTAAAGAGGATCCAGATGTAGATTAGGGAGCTTACCAGAGACTTATGGAAAAATTGATCTACCTTTCCCACACCACACTAAATATAGCCTATGTTATAAGCATGATCAACCATTCATACAAAATCCAAAGCAGCCTCACATGCAAACAGTAAACAAAATACAGCACAATCTTAAGGGGAATCCAAGAAAGGGAATCTCTTTAGAAGAGAATGTGGAATACTCTAGAAGCGTATACTGATAAAGATTATGCAGGATCATCAGTTTATAGATGATCTACCTCAGGATACTGCATATTCCTTGGAGGAAAAATTATTACATTGAGAAGCAAGAGATAGAATGTGATAGTAAAGTCTAGTGCATAAGCAAATTTCAGAGCTATGGCCTTAAGAATATGTGAACTATTATGAATCAAGATGATTCTAGAAGACCTAAAGATCAAATGGGAAGGACTAATGAAGCTATACTGTGACAACAAATCAGCAATCACCATAGCTCACAATATGGTTCAGTATGACAGGATCAAGCACATACAAGTTAACAGATATTTCATAAAGGAGAAATTAGATAGTGGTCTTATATGTATCCATCATGTCTCATCAAAAGATCACCTTGCAGATATTCTTACTAAGGAACTTGATAACTCTATCATTATGGGCTGATTACAAAGCTGCGAATGACAAATCTGTATTTTTCAGCTTGATGGAGAGTCTTAAATCCCAGTTGTCTCTTGACTCTTGATCCCACAACCAGCACAAGGATCCGTGGGAGGAGTGTTAAATCCCAATCGTCCCTTGACCCTTGATCCCACGAACAGCAAGGGGATCTGTGGGAGGCTCGCCTGGACCACATCAATCTCCTTCCATATTTGGGTGGCTAATTTATGAAGGATTATGTTAGGGAAATTATGCATGATTTTCTAATATTTATTTCTTTATTAATATATCTTATTTAGATCAATAAATTGGGAAAGTTTTGTGCAATAAAATTAATTATTTTCCCTCTCCTATTCTCTGAATTTAACATTTGCAAATTTGTTTTTTTTTTATACTTAATGAGCTTGTATAGTTGTTAGTTCATGCAAGTAGAAATAATTCGTGAATATTGCAAATGCAACTAAAATTTAGTTGACAACTTGAACAAATAAAAATAATTTTTAAAAAAAAAACATTAAAAAAATAAGAAAAAATTAATATGGATTTTTAATGCAATAATGATTAAAAATGCCATCTAACATGGGGTAGTGATGTGATGCAGTCAATACATTTAGCCGTGACCAACAAAAGCTTTTGACACCATGAAGCAAAACAAACAAAAATTATATGCTTCAATTTCAGAAGCCTAAGCCAAACACAAAACTTCAAGCAAGTCGCTTCAAAGCATTTTAGGAGAGTTTTGCTTCAAAGAAAATGCTTTCAGAAAGAATAAAACATCACTAAATGAAAATCAAACATGTTGAATGCATAAATGCACATTGAAATATAAGAATACTAAAATGTGTCTTTTTTTTTTAAATAAAAACAAGCTAGATACCTTGCACTAATCAAAATTGCACAAATGAAGCAACTTCTATCCCAATTCTATCACATCCAGGGCACTAACATTGTACCACATCGTGGCTGGATTTACTGAACATTGATAAAATCCACTTGGAAGCAAACCTAGGTTCCTTTATATCTAAATGTTGATATTCTGACCAGATTAGCATTTTACTTAGATTATTAAAACATAAGAACTTCAAAAGGAAAAATGCTCATAGCAATAAAAGTTCAGTTCCACGAAGACTTGTAGGACAAATTAAGATACGAAAAGCTCGGTCATAATCTGAATATTAAAGCAAATTACAAACCGAACTAAAAAAAGGAAAAGAAAAAAAAAAGCTTAAGCGAGCTTTTCCCTTGGCACCTACAAAAGCACCAAGTGAAGTGCTCAAAAGATTTATTAGCCTTACACCTAAATGAACTAAATGATCAGGAATTCAAGGTACAATACGATGATTGTTTATGATCTTACCACTTTGAGTGGCATCAAGCAATTCCTCAAGCTCAAAAATTCGATTTATACCACCAGAAAGTTCAAGAAATTTCCTATGCAACTCGAGAATATCCCCAAATGCCAAGAAACTCTGTGAAACTACAGAAGCAAGAAAACGCAGAGCATGCGCCAGCTCCCCTGAAAATAACCAAAATAATAATAATTATGGCACTCATCCACCAAATAGAAAAAAACACTTGATGTTGCCTGGTTTGTCTACATTGTCTAACCTTGTGTGGAGGTCAATGCCCGGTCTCCTTTATGCTCTAAAGCATATAATAAACTCAATCCCCATGTAACATTGTGAGGAAGCTGCTTTGTAACGAAGTCATCAAGTATAACATATAACCACCTTTTCCTTAGGAGGATCACAGAGTGATCAAGTAATTCCCTAAATTTCAAATCAACCAACTGTTGATTGCATAACCATAGTTAAAAAAGTAAGGTTAGTGAGCTTGATAAAATATTAGAAACTTCATAACACTAATGTAGGAAACAACAAATTTCATAACAAACAAGGATTGCAGTACATAGCATGGTATTGTCAATATTAAAGAACATAATGTATGTATTGCACAAAAATAAAATTGGTATTATAGCTATATAAACAAACAAAAAAATTACCATCAGAAACAAAATATGCAGTATGAGCATAGATTAAGATAGTTATAAAAGGAAATAAGAAGAATGTCTCTCACAGTTTTCTCTCTCGAACCACCACCAAAAAAGGCAATTGACTCAGCATGTGCCCGAAGTCTAGAGTGCATGAATCTGATATAAGCATTGATCATGTATTATTAGCTTTAAGAAACATTGCTTGATAACGAGTAAACACGAGTTTTATGAAGAAGAATGTAGTGATTACCTAAAGGTTCCCTCAAGCTGTTGCTCTTTGCTTGCTAGATCACCAAAATCAGGTGCAACACTTCTCAGGAACCCCAACCCTAAAAGCATGTAAGTATACAGTATGGCAACTCCTCTTCGGCCAGTTAGTAGCTTCATCCGCCAAGTAAACCTATACATACAAGAGGACACCAAAGCATGAATATGACTGCCATCATTAAAAGATGTATTACAAATAAGCATATTGAATGGCATGGGTAGACTCACCAAAGAATATCAAGAGAAGGTTTTACCATTCCAGTAAGCAATCCAGAGAGTTCAGTTGTCAGTTTTTCCACATCATTTGTTATTCGCTGATCTGCATCAACATTTTTATCTGACATGTGAAATACCTATAAAAAGGGCATTAAAATAAGTCCCAAATGGTTGGTTATTAAGGCAATCAGATGCAAAAATAAGATGAGATACCAAAAAAGAAGAGAATGGATCTTAATTTCAAATAGAAATGCAACTAGAAGCGTCAAACTCAAAGCAAAAAACAAAACGAAATACCTTGTAAAAAGCATTGTTTCTTAAGTAATTTTCTAGCAGATGATTGGTCAAACGAATTCTCCATCCAAGTGCAAGCTTGGCCGTCAGGTATCTGCCAATAACAGAAATAAGATTAAGTATAACACAAATTGCGCATAGATTTTTGTAAAAATGATATTCTTTCTATACCATAAAAATTACATAAAAAAATCTATCATAATATTACAGAACAAGAGAAAAGTACAGAAATTACACAACTTCAAAATCATTAATAATGAAAGAGAAACACATCCTCATGATGGAAAAAGTTTTATTCTGTGATGACTAGTCCTGACTTAGTAAGATATATAAAATTGTGTATGCCAACTAAATTTAAAAAATGCAAAATGTTTAAAGTATAACCAAGCAACTCTTGCTTCCTTAGTTCCTAGTAGATCTTTGGCAAGACCAAAAATGAATAAAAGGACTTTTCTGTGACGCAGTCGTTAATGATGTTAATTTCAGTTCTATAGCAAACAAGTCAATGGATTCAACTGATATTACACCTAAAGGATAATACATGCCTTAGAGAAGGAGCAACTATAGATGATGCAGCACTTTGAAGAACACTGATGCCAGTCAATCTGATAAAGGCTGCCTTATCCTGTTCCAGCACATACTTGACGCTAGTTCCTAATGAAAATTCATCAATAAAAAATAAAAATAAAAGCCCATTACCTTTAGTGTCACACAGAAACAACCAAATTAAAAAATATATATATAATACCATTCAAAGAAGCGATGCGATCAGATATCCATGTCCTAGAGATGACAAGTAAAGAAACTGCAAAGAGCTGTGCACCTTGTTTATCAAGCAACGTTGGCACCTATAGCAACACAAGAGTGGAAACCTTAACAAGAAAGATGCAATTTTATGAACTCAGGAAGAGCTAGAAAACAACATAAAAAATTCCTGCAGAAATCCACATCCTAATGCTAAAATTTCTATATGTTTGGGGGGAGGGGTAAGAGAAGATGGAACGAGATGTCCCCCACAGAGAAGACAGAAGATTATTTCCAGATCAACATAACAAAACAGACCATATCCTTTTATCACTTTATCAGTGCTCAAGTAAGAAAATATTACCAAGACTTTAAGCATTGAGGCTACTCTTAGAGGTAAAGCTCTTGGAGTACTTCGCAATTGAGGAACAATGGGTAATTGAGCTTTATCCTCAATAAGAGGAGAGGATGCTAATACTTTTGTTGAATAAGATTGAACCTTAGACCTTGGGAGTCTATTTCCCTGCCAAATATTCAAAATAAAAAATTTGCATAATGAAGTACATTTTCATGTGAAATTCAAAAAAGAAAGAGCAAAAAAAAGAAAGAATCTCGGAACCTTTCCGGAGCTAGAAAAGGCTCTTTGAACAGCAATCGCATCACTAAATCGTTCAGTTTGGGATGACTTTAATGAATTGGGACCACTTCCATGGAAATCTAATGAATCATCCCTATGTCACGTGAAATTATTTATTTTAGTGCCATCATCGAAAGAAGAAAGTGGAAATGAAAATATCTAAAAACTACAATTCATCACCTCTTGTACTGAACACTCCATCCTCCTTCTCCATCCAATGATAAAACTATGTCATGAAAAGCAACTAGAGCAGGACGGTGTGATATAGTAATACATGAGGTCCCCATTGCTCGAACCTTAGCACAAAAACGCTCTTCCATATCTGTTGTGACTGCACTTGTACACTCATCAAGAATAGCGAACTTAGGCTTGTGGAAGAACAGTCTTGCCATTCCCAGCCTCTGTTGTTCACCAAGAGAAAGTTCATCACCCCAGTTTATTTCCTTATCCAGTGGATAACGTTCCAACAGGTACTCCAGATCAACCTACAACATAAAAAATGTGAATTTTGAAGCCTTGACATGCTTTAACTTGAGAAATGGCTTAAAAAAAGATTGTGTGATATTACATTTTTTAGTAGTTCAACCATTCCATCATAGGTGAGTGGTTCAATCTCCTGATCAACTGTAAGGGGATATATCAACTGATCACGAAGTGTTCCAAAAGCTGTATATGGCCGTTGTGGGACATAAAAGATCTCCTTGTTAAGATCAGAACCAACTCCAGGTTTAAATATTCGGCCAGATACCAATGGCCAGAGCCCTCCAAGAACCCGGAAAAGCGAACTCTTCCCACTACCATTTGGACCTGGCCCAAGAATGGGAAAATTTTTATGGTACTCATAACAGATAAAACTTCCCATGTTATTGCAGAATTAAGGACTGATGAAAAGAGAATGAATTGTTTTGACGTCAAGAACATGTCTTTAACAAACACCCATAAATCCATACAAATTTCTCATAACTGTAAATAAGCAGAAAAAGACATAACTCCCGCTCCTAAATTTAGCATTTGCTGTCGTTCAACCACACTGTTCAATGACAAAGGATTTCCCCACCGACTAGTATAGTTTAGCTAAATTTGGGGAAAAGAAGTGTACGGTTTAGCCCTTTCAGCACAAAACAGCTAGATGAAAGGTTTCATGGATATCATTAGGACAGTTGAGCTTATTTTGTTAGGTTGTTATTAGGAATGTGTTGTTAGCTTGAGCTTGAAGATTCTATATGAGCTTTATGAGGTTTTCTGTGTAATATAAACCATAGAAAGTGAGGGACATTATAAAACCATAGAAAGTGAGGAACTTTATTCTTTATTTAGAAATATTCAAAACCCCAATGACGTACAACGTAAACTTGTAATTGTGCTACTAGGATTTTTATAGATCAAACTACTCTTTCTTCTACCAGTCCTACCTCAGTTTTTTAGTACTACAGGCTTGGTTGAAGACTTGAATGCATGCCAAAGGATGAAATTTAGTGTGCAAATAACCATTTAGATGCTTGAAAGAAATTAAGCTTGATGAAAAATAAAACAAAGCCTATCATAAAATCATATTAGAAATCAAAGAATCATGTCCAGATGTCACATATCTGGTTCGGCAATAGGGGCTAAAAATAGAAGCCAAACAATAAGAAATCACATACCAGAAATTGGAAAGCAAAAGGCATCGCATATATTAAAAAAGAACCATCGTCAAGAGAAGAAAAGATTCTTATGTGGATATGACCATAATCAAGAATCATGAGCAAAGATTGCAGAGACAGAGTTAAACTTTACCAATGTTGGATAGTAAGAGAACAAAAACTGACATTGCGCCTAAGTTAAATATTAAAAGAGGCTCACAATGCCTTATAAATGGGTAGAACTCACATCATAAATATGCACAGAAAACAAAAGTAGTTTAAGGAAAAACAGCATGGAAAGCACCTCTTCGTTACAATTAAGCCAAAAGACATACTTTGAAATTAAAGAACTAAAACTGCTATAATGAGCAGTCTCAAAAAAATAAAATACATGAAAAGAAATAACATAAACAATTGAAAAGTCATGCAGATTGTTTATTCTCCCTGCAGGAACGGTGGATTGACTCCACTAGCCTGGTGATAAATTGATAATGAAAGAAAAAGAAGAATAAAATTCTTTGCCTTATATTTCAATAGACTCTGAAAGCACTCATCAGCTCGAAGAGGGATCTCTCAAAGGGATCTCTCCCTTACAACTTTTCTAAGTCTAGCATGTAGATGCGAAGCATGAAGCTTTCAAAAGCAGACTTTTCCCTGCTTTTTCACTTTCCTAGAGATTTCCCCTGCACAACATTTTAGTTGGACTACAAGACTTGTATTATATCTAAGGGATTGAGGTTAACCATGCACAAGCCCATCACTGTTTACATCTTACATGCAATACCCAAACAATGGGCTTATATAACAGAGATTAGGTTGTTTTGGTGGAACCATGGAATATAGATGTGCTTGGCCTAGGGGTGCAAACGAGTCGAGCCAAGCTCGAGTCACATTTAACTCGAGCTCGGCACATCCAATGAATAGTGGACTCGAATTCAAGCTCGAGCTTGAACTTGACTCATTAAAATCGACATACGCTAGAACTCGACTTTTTAATTCGAGTTCGTTAGAAGCTCGTCGGCATAAGAGAAGATTATTGGCGTATGCAAAGCTCGTCGACATTGGAAAAGTTGTCGGAGGTGTTGCAACAGCATCTCACCGAAGCATGTGGAAGCTGTTCACTCGAACTGTTTACTCAAAAGTAGTGGTGGAACTCAATTTGCAAGGAAAAAAAACCTTCTCACAGAGAAGGTTTTGTCCTGTGTAGGAGTGCAGCTCGATTTGCAAGGAGGAAAAAGAAAAATTAATGAGGGAAATGTAGGCTTTTAACAGCAATTTAAATGATGAAAGCAACATTAATAAAGAAAAGACAAAAGATTTACTCGTAATGTTTAAAAAAAAACTGAAAAATACATTTAAACTCAAAAAGCATTTAATGGCCGTTTTTTTTTTTTTAATAGAAAATATAGTATTTTAATTTTTGTTTTAAATAATTCGAGTTGACTTGCGAGCAACCGAGCCGAGTTTTATCAAGCTTGAACTCGAGCTCATTTAGAATTCGATCTTGATTTTATGTTGAAGCTCGAGCTCATGACTCGATAAGCTCGACTAGGGAGCTCATTAACTAGTCGAGTTCGAGCCGGTTCACGAGCAGGCTCGGCTCATTTACACCCCTAGCTTGGCCTATCCTAAAGACTAATTGAGAGTGAGAATGGTTTTGTATCTTTATACACCAAGCAACTGAGGAAACCATTAACCTTATAAAAGACATGGGAAAGAATGAAAGAAAAGATGTGAGAGAAATTCTTGCCTTCTGACCATTCTAGAATCCTATTCCAAGAATACAATAACATTCGCCAAAGAAATCAATCGATAGAAGAATACACTGAATATTTTTATAAATTACAATCCAGAAATGATTTAAATGAAACTGAGGAACGAACCATAACACGATACATCAATGGATTAAAGTGGTCCATCTAAGATCAATTAATTATGCATCATGTTATCAAACTTGATGAGGCCTATCGTATGGCCTTGAATATTGAAAAACAATAACAAAGAAACAACAATAAAAAAATTGACTCAACCAAGATTAGACAATCTATTGGAAGTAAAACTTCACAAACAACCATTGGTTCAACTTCTTCAAATTGAAATCCACGAACGAAACCTAATGAAACTCAAGTAATTGAAAAGGGAAAGAAAGTGATAGGAGCAAAATCAATCGGACTCTGTTATAAATGTGTTTGTATGATCATCTATCAGCAGCATGTATAAAAAACAACCCACCTATAACCAACTATATTAAACAAGAGGAAAGCCATGAAAATTCAAAGAAAGATGAAGCTGAAGAAGAAAATGAGGAAGAGATGGAATCAATTGATGTTGAAGGAGACCAAGGAGATCATTATTTAGTTATCCGTAGGGTTTTAACCATCAAATCAGATGCCAGAGAAAAATGGCTTAGAAGAAATATTTTTTGAACCACATGTAATGTAGAAGAAAAATTATGTACCCTTATGATTGATAGTGATAGCTCCGAAAATTTTATGTCACAACTCATGGTGGATAAACTGAAATTAAAACCAAAATCACTTACCAAGCCTTACAAAATATCATGGTTTAAGGAGGAGAGGTACCAATCACTCAGCAATGCCTTGCCAACCTTTCAATTGGAAAATTTTACAAAGACTAAGTATTATGTGACATCATGCCTCTCGAAATATGTCATATTTTACTAGGTCGACCTTAGCAATATGATCATAAGACTATTCACCATGGAGAGAAGAAATGGAAACCCAAGGCTCTGATACCAATTCGATGCAACCAAATTGATGCAACTAAAAAATAAATTAGAATTGCAAACTAAAACTTCCTTTCCATAAAACATAAACAAAAAAAAAACTTAAAATTCAACCACTTCAAACTCACATTAGACAGGACATTACAATACCTTATAACTTATCAAAATTTTGAGAAGAAAGATACAAATGGAATGAAAGCCATGGAGAGAAGAAAAAGATAGAAGACCGAGACGAAATAGAAGAAGTGAGGTAGAGGAATATAGATCGCAAGCTAAATAACCCGCAAGTTATAGTGTCCAAATATTCTTCACCATTCACCCTCTTTTTCCAGCAGCAAAACAATCCTATTTATAGGAAAAAAAGATCCAAATTCCCACATAAATGTGCCACCCCAAATCGCCAATAGAAACCAAACAAAACAATGACTTTTTTTAGAAGATAAAACACTATTTTAGGAATCAACAATGAGGGAAATGAATGGCCAGCAGCAAGAAATTCAAAATCTGCTAGGGAAACCAACAACTCATCATATGGGAATCCAAAATCAATAGAACACAAACAGGAATTCAAAATCTGATTGGAAAACTGTGGCTCCGAAAAATTCCATTTTGTGTTGTGTATGATCCCGGCCTCTCCACGCCATCCGTCTATTTTTCTTTTAAAATGTTTGTGTGACGATGATGATAGAGAGTTTTAACGAGATTAGGTTCCGAGGGAATTTTTAGAAGGCAGATTGGGTTTTAGATTAGATAATACCCAGAGATTTCGCCCTCATTTTGTGAGGACTTTTTGATCTGAGTTCTGGTTTCCTATAGGCGCAAGCCCCTATAGTTAATTACCCCTCCTGATAACAGGAGAGAACTTTCGATTAAGGCTAGTCGTTAAAAGGGTCGAATAGGTTATAAACCTATCGTATAATAGCAATAATTCTACGGTTTAAATTTTGAATTTTGAAAGTTTGAAATTTGGAATTTATCACCACAAACTTATTTCTGATCATCGAATACATATATATATATATATATATATATAAAAGTATATATATATATATAAAACTATCTTTGCCTGCATCAATGAGTGTCAACTGAGTTTTCCTTGGACTGCCTGAGGACAAGATGAGGTCACCAAAGCATTGAGGGTAGTAATGGGTCTTCAGACTTGCCTAGGACTATATTGGATAGCTAGAAAAAATCTTGGACCAAACTGAAGGTACTTACTGACTCAAGCCATCATGGGTAAGTCAAAAGTGCATCGGTTCAGTCTAACAAACCCTGGCCTCCTCTGACCTTTTAAAGATAAAAAAATTCACAAATACATTTTTAGCGATCAAATGCTTTCATTAGATTTAGTTTTAAGAATAAATAAAAGTTGAAAATGACCACAATGATCCCTCAACTCTTTATGAAGACCAAAATGGTCTCCAACTTTTTTGAGGGACCAATTTGGTCCATCAACTACTTAAAAAGGGGTCTTTTTGGTCATAATATAAAATTTTAGGGTTAATGATGTTAAATCAAGGAATATTTTGATCATTTTTTAATTAAAATTTTTATTAAATGTAATTTTAAGTCATAGTATTTAAAAAAATTTATTAAAAATTTCTTTAATAAAAAAATTATTAATAATTCTAGTCTATAATTATCCTAAATTAAAACTAAAATTATTAATAAATTTTTATTAAATAAATATTTAATAGTTTTTTTAAAAAAATTACTATTACTTGAAAATTACATTTAATAAATAATTTAATTAAAAATGTCTAAAATATCCCTAAATTTAACAACATTAACCTCAAAATTTGATGTTATGAACAAAAAATGTTCCTTTTGGCCTTTTTAAAGAGTTGAGGGACCAAATTGGTCCCTCAAAAGAGATGGGGATCATTTTGGTCACTCATAAAGAATTGAGAGACCATTTTGATCCTTTATCTTAACTATTACTTGAAAATTACATTTAATAAATAATTTAATTAAAAATGTCTAAAATATCCCTAAATTTAACAACATTAACCTCAAAATTTGATGTTATGAACAAAAAATGTTCCTTTTGGCCTTTTTAAAGAGTTGAGGGACCAAATTGGTCCCTCAAAAGAGATGGGGATCATTTTGGTCACTCATAAAGAATTGAGAGACCATTTTGATCCTTTATCTTAGGCAGGGCTTATTTAGTTAAAGAAAGATGCAATTAGTTATGTAACATCCATATCCTGTATATTTACAAAAACTAACACCCAATTATTTTTATTTACTATAATGCCACTTTTTTTTTACTATAATGCCACTTAAATCTTGAAAAGCACAACAAAATAGTCACCAATATTTTTCACTTTCATTAAATTTTCAATGATTTCATTGTGCATGTGCAAATATATGAGTTTATTAGTATGCATTTTTTTTGCTTGGATGCTAAATATGCAAATGAGAAAGATTTAGATGTCAAGCACACAATTTTTCCTAAAAAAAGTCTGTTGAAAAACTAGTCTTCGCATTTTCCATCCTAAAACTTGTCTCACATTGTTCACCTGAGCAGTAGCAATTTTTTACAGCACCAAATCAATTTTAAAACAATGCAATTAGATGTCAATGGCATGCAAATCCAGCGATGACCAAAATGAAATTAGCATTACAACGAAAACTGTAATGTATACTGAAAAACAAGGAAAAAGAATGTAATATATGCGCAAGAACTGTGTTTTAGAGAAATGCTACTATGCACTAACATAACAAATGACGAGAACTTCAATCTTCCATGCAAAAGTTACGTATGAGCAGAATATCATCCAACCATATGCGATTAGATTTTTTGTCCTTTACTTTCGCTTTTATTTTTATAATAACGACACTGAATGCTACAATCTTACCCAACATGAAGTAAAGCCTTACTACTCATGTGTTGTTACAGCTAATAGTAATGCAAACATAGAATAACTGCAGAAAGAGTGGACATTCTACCAACAAATTTTCCTAATGCATCAACAAAGACCCGAGACAGAAATACAGAAATTATGAATTGCAATCACATTGACAAACACTTTAATGGTGAATAAAAAGAGAGCCTTGTGGATGTCCCAGAATGCAACACCATGAAGATAGAGAACTACAAACTTACCAGTGATCAAAAGATTAGATCCTGAATCAACCCTGAGCGTAAGGTCATCCACCAACACATTTCCAGGAGGAGTTACAACCTGTAAGTATTTGGATCAAGCATAAATAAGAAGCACATGAAAATATAAATAGTCAATCTACAATTCATCAATGATTTGAACTACCTTGACACCCGAGAATTCAATATAATCTGCTTCACTAAAACAATTTGTGCTTGCATTATTTCGCATTGATGATGCATCCCGCGCGGTAGCTAGTTCTCTTGATACAACCATTAGCTCATGAATACGGTCAGCATACCCACTATTAAAAGAAAATTCCATTACAAAAATGTAATCAAACTTATGGTATAGAATAGCTCCACAAGTAAAATATCAATTGGTGCATTCAAATTGACGGGTAAAAGCAAATAAAAAAAAAAATTAGGCCAAAATTTTAGATGTACCAAGAGGGTGTCTGTAGTAGGTAATAAATTCAACAAGCTAACAGGGATGGTCAAGCAGCTCTACAAGTGTTTTGGAGGTAATCATGAAAGAAGACGATGCATACTTAATATAGTGTTTTCAATCAGAAGCTTCCCACCCAAACCAAGATTGTGAAATATCATATTTAATACGGAAGAAAATATGAAATTAATTACCAAAATAACATAATGTAACAAGCAAAAGGGACAGGCAAGACAGCAGATGTACATGAGAGCCATTTGCACACCTAACATGCAGTAAAGCAACCAAACAAGGCAATCAAAATAGCAATTTTAGACGCACAGTCACAATAATCATGATTAGAATGAAATAATGTAACTTCATCAAAAATCACACTTTGCTTGAAGGTCAAGGTACATAACCAAATCAACACAGAGGAAGTTCAAAAAGACTGTTTGACAGTAATCAAGATTTCAAATCAATGCCTTTTCCTACGCGGAGGAGTCGCAAGCGCTGGGCTAGGGCTCGGGTTCGGCAATCGAAGTGGACAAGGTGCTCGGCTGGGCGTCATGCAAGCAAGGCGAGAGACGAGCAGTTGTTTGTGCTTGGGAGTGATTGAGGGGAAGAAAACATGACAGAACGAAGTGTAAGTTTTTTTTTTATTCGTCCAGTTTCTCTAACTTTTTATCGAAACCAGCAGTCACCTCTCCTTTTGGAGCCATCAATACATAGGAAATAGAAAGAGAGGGGAACGGACAGCATGGGGAAAACAACAGCCATAAATCTGCCTAGGAAACCAGTAGGAAACCATCAGTCACCTCTCCTTTTGGAGCCATCAATACATAGGAAATAGAAAGGGAAGGGAACAGACAACATGGGGAACCATAAATCTGCCTAGGAAACTAGCACTCATCACTCCTTTTGGAGCCATCAATACATAGGAAATAGCAAGGGAGGGGAACGGACAACATGGGGAAAACCAATAGGCAAGTTTTGCCTACATCAATTCTCCCCATGTGGAGAATTCTCATCTCCTGATGAGAACGCCTTGGTACACGTTGGAAAATATCAGGATGACGAAGTTGCAAACTTAGGTTGAATGACAATGCTTCCATGATATTCTGAATGCATTATTTCTAACGTAGATCCTCCTTTTGAAGTGAACTTTGGCTTGTTGACTGTTTTGACTCTCTTTTTAAATAGAAAGGAAGACTCACAACCTAAGGCTCTGATACCAAATTGATGCAATAAAACAAAAGTATTGCAAACTTAAATCTTCCTTTTCTTAAAACAAAGATTAACACAGATAGCATATAGCAATACTATTATAAAATAAAGACACCTTACAACTTATGAAAGTTTTGAGAAGGATACAGATGGAATAAAAACCATGGACAGAAGAAAGAGATTGGAAACCGAGACGAATTTTAAGAAGAGAGGGAGGTAGAAGACAATAGCTCGCAAGCTATTCCAAACCCGCAGATTTATACATTCCAAAAATCATTCAAAAACTCTTTTCTGCAGCAAACAGCCCCCATATATAGGTAAAAATAGAGAAAACAACAGTCATAAATCTGCCTAGGAAACCAGTAGTTAGCCAGTCACTTCTCCTTTTGGAGCCATCAATACATAGGAAATAGAAAGGGAGGGGAACGAACAACATGGGAAAACAGTAGCCATAAATCTACCTAGAAAACCAGCAGGAAACCAGCAGTCAACTCTCCATTTGGAGCCATCAATACATATGAAATAGAAAGGGAAGGGAATGGACAGCATGGGGAAAACAACAGCCATAAATCTGCCAAGAAAACCAATAGGAAACTAGCAGTCACTACTCCTTTTGGAGCCATCAATACATAGAAAATAGCAAGGGAGGGGAACAGACAACATGGTGAAAACCAATAGGCAAGTTTTGCCTACATCAAGTTGCCGAAGGGATGTATTGTTTCGCCAAAAATTGTATCTGTTTAGTTAATTTCCACTTCTCTTTTTTTTTCATTTTGTTTCAATTTTTTTTAAATTAGTCAACAATTAGAAATAGCAATAGGCAGCCAATTAAGAAATCATGCAGTTCATCTACATAGCATAAAAAAATTTACGATAGTATCTCTACAAAGTTCATTACAAGGAGATTATTACACAATTTTCACGTCATCCATAAGTTAATGGATAGGAAATGTCGCATCTAAGAAGTTTCTTCTATTGGGTTGTTAATTAAAAGCTAGCAACAATAACTACCACAATAATACAAATTACATTATGCTTATTGCAAACAAATTAGTTCTGTGTATACTGTTGACTGTAACTGCTGCTCCCCACCGACTGAAGCCCCAAACGATACAACGATTCGCCCACCGACTTCTTTCACCGACATACTCACAAAATAAAAATGAAATCTTCCTCTCATTCGGTTCCAACACACACTCACGCACAGAGAGGAGTTTTTAGAAGACTTACCTCTGCATCATTGAAGCAAACCGAACTCCATTCTCCGCTTCAAGCCTCCGGCTGACCCAACTCCGGCGTCGACCCTTCTGGCCGACCCAATTCCGGCGGACGCTGCTGCCTCCGCCGCCTTCGTCGCCGACCAG